TTCGTGGTGCTTGGGTTTTGTCCTGGTTAGATCCTTTATTGAAGTGGTAGAAGCGATGGCGACTCTGGTGTTAGCTTGTGAAAGTACTTTTGAGACGTTTAGTGCAACCTGGCTGTTGGGAAGAATTATAACTTTGTTGGGAGCGGTGTTGATGCGTGGAGAATTGATGATCTGAAGAGCTCTTTTCTTGCAGTCTTTGATGAAAAAAGAAGGAAATTGTAACTCAGTGAATGTTTGGTGAATGTAAGTACATTCCTCGTCAAGAAACTCAGGACTACAAATTCGGTATGCTCTTAGGAAAAACCCGATGATGATGCCTCTTTTGGTCTTGGTATCTTGACTGGAATAGAAGTGTGTGAGATCATTTTTATTGGTGGGTTTCCGATAAACTTGAAATCTTAGGTTGTTGTCTACTTTGTGAATGAGGACGTCGAGGAAAGGTAGCTTGTCATTGGACTCTTCTTCTAGTGTAAACTGAATCGCTGGTTCAACTGCGTTGAGCCTTGCCTGAAGATCCCGTACATCAAAACGTTTTGGAGTTATTACGAGGACATCGTCCACGTAACGTAACCAAGTGACGCTTGAAGGGATGATGTTGGCGAAGTGTTCGGACTCTATAAGTGCCGTCCTAGCCAACTTATACATGGAACACCTAGAGTCCGAACACTTCGCCAACATCATCCCTTCAAGCGTCACTTGGTTACGTTACGTGGACGATGTCCTCGTAATAACTCCAAAACGTTTTGATGTACGGGATCTTCAGGCAAGGCTCAACGCAGTTGAACCAGCGATCCAGTTTACACTAGAAGAAGAGTCCAATGACAAGCTACCTTTCCTCGACGTCCTCATTCACAAAGTAGACAACAACCTACCTAAAATTTCAAGTTTATCGGAAACCCACCAATAAAAATGATCTCACACACTTCTATTCCAGTCAAGATACCAAGACCAAAAGAGGCATCATCATCGGGTTTTTTCCTAAGAGCATACCGAATTTGTAGTCCTGAGTTTCTTGACGAGGAATGTACTTACATTCACCAAACATTCACTGAGTTACAATTTCCTTCTTTTTTCATCAAAGACTGCAAGAAAAGAGCTCTTCAGATCATCAATTCTCCACGCATCAACACCGCTCCCAACAAAGTTATAATTCTTCCCAACAGCCAGGTTGCACTAAACGTCTCAAAAGTACTTTCACAAGCTAACACCAGAGTCGCCATCGCTTCTACCACTTCAATAAAGGATCTAACCAGGACAAAACCCAAGCACCACGAACCAGTCAATGCAGGAGTTTACACTATACCCTGTGGAGGCTGTGACAAGATCTACGTAGGTGAAACAGCAAGAAACCTCGACACCCGCCTCAATGAACACATATACGCATGTAGGAACGACAACTTAAACAACGCCTGTGTACAACACCGAAATTCCACCAATCATCTTATGAAATTCAGAGACGCCCAATTAGTGATAAAAGAAACTAATTTCCGCACACGCAAGTGCCTTGAATCAGCACTGTTCGCTGTTTCGAATACAATTAAACAAAACAACGGCAGCTTCACCATCTCCGAAGTCTTAGCAAGAATCCTCCTGAAAACAGTAAACCCTGCCATCACATAGTCTCTCCTGTTATACTACACAAAGCACAGAGAGTGAACACTGAAACAACCTGCCTCATTCCAGTTTATATTTGTCCAACCTATTTTTATGTTACCCAAGTTTTAGCTTTTATATCCTTTTACTCATGTACGAATTAATTGCTTTTGTCACTACCACTACTACTACTACTACTACCACTAGTGAACATCGAAATGGTACCTCACTAGTATTCACCTCACTCTGAGCCTTTATATACCCTCTGTGTCCATGTATTGTTTGTAATGGCTTGATAAAGCTCCTGGAGAGCGAAACGTTGCCACAATAAATGTCACATTAGTTGCACTTGTGTCCTTTTACTTTACATATTGTCGGTAATTCTACCAACTTTATTACAACATACACTCAACAATACTGCAGCATACACTCGACAATACTACAACATACACTCAACAATACTACAACATACACTCGACAATACTACAACATACACTCAACAATACTACAACATACACTCAACAATACTACAACATACACTCAACAATACTACAACATACACTCAACAATACTGTAACATACACTCAACAATACAACATACACTCAACAATACTACAACATACACTCAACAATACTGCAACATACACTCAACATTACTACAACATACACTCAACAATACTGCAACATACACTCAACAATACTACAAACATACACTCAACAATACAACATACACTCAACAATACTACAACATACACTCAACAATACTGCAACATACACTCAACAATACTACAACATACACTCAACAATACTGTAACATACACTCAACAATACTACAACATACACTCAACAATACTGTAACATACACTCAACAATACTACAACATACACTCAACAATACTGTAACATACACTCAACAATACAACATACACTCAACAATACTGTAACATACACTCAACAATACTACAACATACACTCAACAATACTACAACATACACCCAACAATACTACAACATACACTCAACAATACTACAACATACACTCAACAATACTGCAACATACACTCAACAATACTGCAACATACACTCAACAATACTACAACATACACTCAACAATACAACATACACTCAACAATACTGCAACATACACTCAACAATACTGCAACATACACTCAACAATACTACAACATACACTCAACAATACTACAACATACACTCAACAATACTACAACATACACTCAACAATACTACAACATACACTCAACAATACTGCAACATACACTCAACAATACTACAACATACACTCAACAATACTACAACATACACTCAACAATACTACAACATACACTCAACAATACTGCAACATACACTCAACATTACTACAACATACACTCAACAATACTGCAACATACACTCAACAATACTACAACATACACTCAACAATACTACAACATACACTCAACAATACTGCAACATACACTCAACAATACTACAACATACACTCAACAATACTGCAACAACTACACTCAACAATACTACAACATACACTCAACAATACTACAACATACACCAACAATACTACAACATACACCCAACAATACTGCAACATACACTCAACAATACTACAACATACACTCAACAATACTACAACATACACTCAACAATATTACAACATACACTCAACAATACTACAACATACACTCAACAATACTACAACATACACTCAACAATACTACAACATACACTCAACAATACTACAACATACACCTCCAGATGAAACAGTGCCTATTGTGGATTTTTATTTTAATTTCACATAACTGACCACAAAATACACAAGTATAATACATCCAGTTTTGGTACAACATGAATTTGGTATCGACACATCGATACCAAATTAACGTAAGTAACCATTCTTACAGGATTCATTACCTCTGTAAATTGTGAGTTCATTACCTTTGTAAATTGTGAGTTCATTACCTTTGTAAATTGTGAGTTCATTACCTTTGTAAATTGTGAGTTCATTACCTCTGTAACTTGCTCAGCTATCAAAACTTTGGAGTCCAGTCCCTGGACCAATTATGTACCTCTGTAATCTTTTGACTACCGCCCACAGGATGGGTATGTGGTGACTACCGCCCACGGGATGGGTATGTGGTGACTACCGCCCACAGGATGGGTATGTGGTGACTACCGCCCACAGGATGGGTATGTGGTGACTACCGCCCACAGGATGGGTATGTGGTGACTACGGCCACAGGATGGGTATGTGGTGACTACCGCCCACAGGATGGGTATGTGGTGACTACCGCCCACAGGATGGGTATGTGGTGACTACCGCCCACAGGATGGGTATGTGGTGACTACAGCCCACGGGATGGGTATGTGGTGACTACCGCCACAGGATGGGTATGTGGTGACTACCGCCCACAGGATGGGTATGTGGTGACTACCGCCCACGGGATGGGTATGTGGTGACTACCGCCCACAGGATGGGTATGTGGTGACTACCGCCCACGGGATGGGTATGTGGTGACTACCGCCCACAGGATGGGTATGTGGTGACTACCGCCCACAGGATGGGTATGTGGTGACTACCGCCCACGGGATGGGTATGTGGTGACTACCGCCCACAGGATGGGTATGTGGTGACTACCGCCCACAGGATGGGTATGGTGACTACCGCCCACGGGATGGGTATGTGGTGACTACCGCCCACAGGATGGGTATGTGGTGACTACCGCCACGGGATGGGTATGTGGTGACTACCGCCCACAGGATGGGTATGTGGAGTGACTACCGCCCACAGGATGGGTATGTGGTGACTACAGCCCACGGGATGGGTATGTGGTGACTACCGCCCACAGGATGGGTATGTGGTGACTACCGCCCACAGGATGGGTATGTGGTGACTACCGCCCACAGGATGGGTATGTGGTGACTACCGCCCACGGGATGGGTATGTGGTGACTACCGCCCACAGGATGGGTATGTGGTGACTACCGCCCACAGGATGGGTATGTGGTGACTACCGCCCACAGGATGGGTATGTGGTGACTACCGCCCACGGATGGGTATGTGGTGACTACGCCCACGGGATGGGTATGTGGTGACTACCGCCCCAGGAGTAGGGTATGTGGTGACTACCGCCACGGGATGGGTTATGTGGTGATACGCCCACAGGATGGGTATGGTGGTGACTAACCGCCCACAGGATGGGTAATGTGGTGACTACGCCCACGGATGGGTATGTGAGACTACGCCACAATGGGTATGTGGTGAAATACGCCCACGGATGGTATGTGGTGACTACGCCCACGTGATGGGTATGTGGTGACTACCGCCACGGATGGGTATGTGGTGACTACCGCCCACGGGATGGGTATGTGGTGACTACCGCCCACGGGATGGGTATGTGGTGACTACCGCCCACGGGATGGGTATGTGGTGACTACCGCCCACGGGATGGGTATGTGGTGACTACCGCCCACGGGATGGGTATGTGGTGACTATCGCCCACGGGATGGGTATGGGGTGCATAATAAACATATTAAACTAACTAACTAACACTCCTGCGCAAGTTTCTTATATGCTTATTTTATATTTTAAAATAACCGTGACAATTACGAAAATATTTATTAATGGTTATAATCATAACCATGATTTTTAAAGATGTGAACTGGTAAGCCAGCGGAAGTCCTCGGCCAGATGACCAAAAGCTCTAGGTGTGGGTCATCATATAACCAAGACCCGAGTCAGGAAACACCTGTCCTGTGTCCTGACAAGCATTATACCTACGAAAATATTAATAGTAGTACTAGATTATTTTTACCGGAAAATAATCTTTATTAACACTATATGAACTTAGAGTGCGTGATTGTTACATTTAGATTTTAGTTATTTCAGAAATTCACCAGATAATTTCGAGCATGAGATTATTTGTCGAAGAAAGTCAAAGCGATGAAGTCACACACTTTCTTGTACTGGTTGAGAAGTTGCTTGTATCTAGCGGTACCTTGTTCCAGACTCTTGCCAACGTTGCTCACACCTCGCCGTACTCTCACTAAGTATTCAGGAAACTTCTCAGCCTCACTATGTTCTTCCACAGTGTTGTTTTCCGCGGTCCTGCGTCTCCTATTCAACACCTTACAAGCCTCGTGTCCCTGCAGTTGTCTCCGGACGATATGGTGTATTTCAAGGTTCTTGTGAAGAGTTTTCTCCCCTCCCAGAGCTTCCACCGTCCTCCGGAGTCTTTCCAGGTCGCTTAGGTCCTGCCTCTCTTCTGCTGTTAGTTGGTCAGACTTGACAAGCTCATTATATGTGTGGGACATATCTGGAATTACCATACCCTGGGACCCTTCTTGGATGTTTCCAACAGTAAAATTTTGAGTAGTCGTGTTCAGAACGCCTCGATTTCCTCTTGTTTGATTGGTGACCTCCAAGTAATTTATTTCGGTTGGTGCAGAAAGTGAGAGCAAGGTCAGTCTTGCATCATGTTGATCTTCTCCTTGTGTGGTTCCGTTACGTTCCTGTCCAGTGTAATTTAATCCCAACTTTGTCACATCCCTTTCTTCATCGATAATTTCATCAGTTACATAGTGAGCGTCCCTCTCTGTACTAGCAAACTCTTCTTCTCCAGCCTGACCATTTTCCCACTGTTCTCCAGTGAACAAAAACTCAGGGTAACTTTTCAGCATGTGTTCTAATTCTTCATTCGTGATGAAATCAGTCTTGTAGTAGTGGGCTGTGTCACTAGATAGAAAAGCTGGCCTACCTGTTGTTTCCTGTCTGGAGTTCTCGACTGGTAGGAAAGTGGTACTTTCTTCACCTCTTGCCTTATCCTCGTAGTCATATCTTTCTGTATATTCTTCCTGATCCTCATCTGCATATCCAGAAGTTCCCAGATCCTGCAGGTGCCGGAGCTGTGTGTCGCTCAGCATGATGACTGTCTCGCCTCTAGCTATGCTCTCATCACTATGGTAGTACGATGGTTGCTTCTCCTCACCCTCCGTGGTAGAAGTTTCAACCAATCCTTCACTGCCTATATCAGCGTCCGTCGTTGTGATCGTCCTAGATATATGTAGATCTTCACTGGCAAGTAACCTCTGAGGACCTTGGGTCCCACTAGAGTGCATGGGGGTCAAGTCGTTGGACTCATTTCCAAAATGGTACATGTGCGCCATTCTGTTGTCATTGTCCATTGTGTTGTCGCGTTTATCATCGCTTCCGTCGCTGTGATCTTCATTGTCGTTATCGTCTTCATCATTACTATTGTAGTTTGTAATATTATGTTCTTCCTTATCGTCGTTGATGTCCCAGTAACTTTTTATGTAGCCATCATACTCGCTGTTGTCGTAATCATCTTCATCATACTCGTCATAGTTATCGAAAAGAGTCTCTTCGTAGTTATAATCGTCCTCAGTATCATCATCATCATCATCATCACCACTATACTTGGCGTCACTGCTGCCTCCACTCTTCTCTTCAGCGTCATCACCATCGCCATCGTCATCATTTTCAGTATCATCACCCTCGTTGTCTTCCATTTCAGTGTCATCACCCTCGTTGTCTTCCATTTCAGTGTCATCACCCTCGTTGTCTTCCATTTCAGTGTCATCACCCTCGTTGTCTTCCATTTCAGTGTCATCACCCTCATTGTCTTCCATTTCAGTGTCATCACCCTCATCTTCATACTCATATTTCGCTTCACGGTCAGATTCATTATCCTTTAAGCTGTTATAATCTGCGTAATCATCTGTATCATCGTTGTCACTATTATATACGTTCCTGCTTGTGTCATCTCCTCTTCCAGCAACACCAAAGAACGTTGGTTCATCCGTCAGGGCACCACTGACTGGCGAACTAGGATCCTTCAGCATTTCAGGCACCTCGGACCAGCGCTGAACAATTTCAGAAGGCGTGGCGGGGGTCACTGTAAGCTCCTCGTCGGAATATATCAAAACAGTGTAGGTTTGGTTTGAGAGTGTGGGCGGTGTATAGGTCTCTGCAGGGAGTGTGATGAGTGTGTGTTGGGTGTCATTCTCTGTAGGGAGTGTGGTAGGCGTGTGTTGTGTGTCGTTCGTTGTAGGGAGTGTGGTAGGCGTGTGCTGTGTGTCGTTCACTGTAGGGAGTGTAGTAGGAGTGTCCTGTATATCGTTCGTTGAAGATAATGATGTAGTGGTAGATGTGTATTGTGTGTTGCTCTCTGTGGGAAGTGTGGTGGGGGTGGTCGCTGGGTCATTAACGCCAGCAAAAATGCCCCCAGGTAGCTTGGCACAGGATACCACACCCACGAGGCTCAAGATCAACCTGTGGGAGAGATAAACATATGGGTAAATATCGCTGTTGTGTGTATTGCTCAGTGACTGAGGCTGAGTCTCAGTACCTGTGTCCCTATTTATCAAAATCGTCACAAAAATCAGAAGCAGGCATTATTACATCCGTAGTGATTTGTTAATTAGAATAGAAAACATCAAAAGCAAGGATGACTACTCACTAGTACACTGCTAAGAGAAAAGGCAAACACATGTTGACTATTGTTTTAAAAGTATCTACACAATCTTAAGAACATAAGAACATAAAGAAGGAACACTGCGACAGGCCTACTGACCCATGCGGAGCAGGTCCATGTCCCAACCCCCGGATTAGACCAATGACCCCCCCGGATTAGCCCAATGACCCACCCAGTCTGATCATCTCCACTCAAGGATGGAGCACGGCACCAGACCCAGCAGCACAAGCTAGTCAGGTCCAACTCACACCCACCCACACCCACTCATGTATTTATCTAACCTATTTTTAAAACTACACAACGTTTTAGCCTGAATAACTGTACTCGGGAGTTTGTTCCACTCATCCACAACTCTCTTACCAAACCAGTATTTTCCTATGTCCTTTCTGAATCTGATTTTTTCCAACTTGAAACCATTGCTGCGAGTCCTGTCTTGGCTGGAAATTTTCAGCACACTATTTACATCCCCTTTATTTATTCCTGTTTTCCATTTATACACCTCGATCATATCCCCCCTAGTTCTATGCCTTTCGAGAGAGTGCAGATTCAAAGCCCTCAGTCTATCCTCATAGGGAAGATTTCTGATACATAGGATCATCTTTGTCATCCTCCTTTGTACGTTTTCCAGAGCATTTATATCCATTCTGTAATACGGTGACCAGAGCTGAGCAGCATAGTCTAAATGAGGCCTAACCAAGGATATATAGAGTTGAAGAACAACCTGAGGACTTCTATTATTTATACTTCTAGATATGAAGCCAAGGATTCTATTAGCTTTATTGCGAACACTTACGCACTGTTGTCTTGGTTTTAGATTACTGCTAACCAGAACTTCTAAATCCTTTTCGCAATCGGTAGTATTAAGATCTACATTATTTAGTTTATATGTGGCATGGTTATTTACCTGTCCAACATTTAGAACTTTGCATTTGTCAATATTAAACTGCATCTGCCACTTCTCCGATCATTGCATCAGTCTATTCAAATCATCCTGGAGTGCTCTAGTGTCCTCATTAGAATGAATTGGACGGCCTATTTTGGTGTCATCAGCAAATTTGCTTATGTCGCTATTTATTCCCTCATCTATATCGTTTATGTAAATTGTGAACAACAACGGGCCCAACACTGACCCCTGAGGAACACCACTTGTGACGTGCCCCCATTCTGATTTCTCCCCATTTATGCAAGCTCTCTGCTGTCTATTTGTCAGCCATGCCTCTACCCAGGAAAAAATTTCTCCTATTCCGTGTGCCTTAAGTTTCCTCAATAGCCTCTGGTGTGGAACTCTATCGAAAGCCTTACTGAAGTCTATATACACAATATCATATTCATTACCATGATCTACCTCTTCAAACACTTTAGTGAAAAAAGTTAGTAAATTCGTAAGACAGGAACGCCCCTTTGTAAAACCTTGCTGAGATTCATTAATCAATCTGTGCCTGTCAAGATGGCTACGAATTGCTTCGGCAATTATTGATTCCATAAATTTTCCCACTATGGAGGTAAGGCTTATTGGTCTATAGTTCGAAGCCAAGGACCTGTCACCTGCTTTGTAAATAGGTATTACATTTGCCATTTTCCACTTATCAGGCACTATGCCAGTTTGTAGTGATATGTTAAAAAGATTAGCCAAAGGTATGCTAAGTTCCTCTTTACATTCCTTTAACACCCTTGCAAACAGTTCATCAGGGCCTGGGGATTTGTTAGGTTTTAGTTTCTCTATTTGTCTGATGACCATGTCACTAGTTACTGCAATCGTACATAGTTTATTTTCATCCTGTTCTACATAATCTATTATTTCAGGAATATCGCTAGTATTTTCCTGGGTGAAAACTGGGAGAAAGTAGGTATTTAGAATTTCACACATATCCTTATCACTGTCAGTGATCTGACCAGAGTTACTCTTAAGTGGGCCAATCTTGTCCCTAATCTTACTTCTGTATACCTGAAAGAACCCTTTTGGGTTAGTCTTTGAATCCCTTGCGACCTTAGCCTCATAATCCCTTTTTGCTTTTCTTATTCCTTTCTTTATTTCTCTCTTTAATTGAATACATTGATTTCTTAACTGCCCATCCCCTCTTTTAATACGCCTATATATGCCCCTCTTTTGACCAATGAGATGTTTTAATCTATTGTTCATCCATTTGGGATCATTTTTGTTAGATCTAATTTCCCTACTCGGAACAAAAGTTGTCTGGGCAGCTAGAACTATGCTCTGAAAAACGTCATATTGGCAACCAAGATCACCTACCTGACCCATAGTCAGGACAATTTAGCCCACCCAGGTAATTTTTCAGTCCCATGAAGTCGGCCAAGCGAAAATCTGGGACAGAGATTTGATTGCAATTATCTGGGTAATTCCATGATATATTGAAACTAAGTGATTTGTGATCACTTTCCCCAAGCTCATCATTAACCTCAAGATTATTAATTAGTAAATCTTTGTTGGCAAGAACCAAGTCAAGCAGATTGTTTCCTCTAGTTGGTTCTGTCACAACCTTTCTATAAAGCAATCCTGAACCGTATCAAGAAAGTCACTAACTCAAGAATGTCCAATCAATTTGTCTAAGTTAAATTCTTCCATTATCACAGACCTTTTCATATCTGATGCCTTATGAATTTCGTCGTCCCAAAACACTACCGCCCTCCCCTATCAAGGTTTGGGGGCCTATAAAATCCACACCCAAAAAGTTTAATTTATGTCCCTCGAGAAACTGTAGCAAACAGATTCTTGTTCGATGTTTTCTAATCTTATATCATGTCCCTAAAGACAACATTTTAAATTTTCTCTGACATACATTGCCACACCAACCACCCTTCCCTGCTGACCCTATCAATTGGAATAGTTTATAACCCTGTAATGTTTGCATTCAGAAGGCATTTCTACTATCCTTTAGATTGAACCGAGGTCCCAATGTTATACAATATATCTATATTACCTACACTTGCAAGTAATCTTATGCTCATCTATCTTATTTTCTTAGACTCCTACTATTTGTATAGTAAACCTTAAGGGAGATAGTCACTTCGTTGCCCTCTTACTATCCCTCTTTGTTTGTTGATCAATTGATTGGCCATTACTTAGCAACTTTATTTTGAATATGTCTTTAAAAAACATATCCCTGAGTTATCCCGGTAATAACGCTGTTTTTAAACCCTAATGCTGCAGCCTAATAGTTTCCCACAAACACCCATACCTCTATAATCTATCAGTTTAAATTTCAGACAAGTCATCAATTACCCTCTCTCAACTGAGATTGGCTAATCAACACACTCCTTCCCCAGAGAGATGAACCCCATCCTTGCATAACATATCACGTTGCCAAAGAATGAGGTCCCATTATCAATGAATGGGACCTGCAAGTTCTTGCTGTACCTTCGAGGCCAGCAATTTATACCTATTGCCCTAGAACATCCATTCATGCCCACTCCCTTTCTAGGCAAGCTGGATACATATGACTGGATCCCTCCCTTAGACCTAAACTACTTCTATGCTGACCTGTACTTATCCAGTCAGCCCTCTTTCCTGCCCTTCCAATGTCATGACCCCCCCAGCACTAAGAACAGATAATGTGTCATGTAGGGGGGTAATGGGATGCTACTGGTAATTGGGGAATATGTGAGTAATCGGAAGGAGTAGGCTGGAGAGTCTGAGTCGAGTGATTAGCGGCGAGCGTAGGTTAATTGAGGTCACTGGTGACTACAACTTCACCTCTCATTACTCTACCCACCACACTACTCACCCTCTCAACTAACTTGAAAAAAAAATAATGAATAGTAAAATTATTTAATATTTTGTGTTTAAGGGACAGTGGAATATTACTATTCTACTACAAACACAGTTTTTTTAAGTCCTGTACAATAAATATTTGGGAACGAGGAAAACAATATTGTGGTTTAGATAATGGGGTGGTACATATAAGCAGTGAGACAGGGAACACAATCAACTTGACGAAAATGAATATAACTTACAATAAGGTTCAGGAGAACAATTCATTACAGGAACTAGAAAGCACAGGTCCCCAAGACCCTACACAGCACGAGTACTGCGCCAAGCCAGTACTCCTGCCCAAATGCCCTTCCAACCAGTCTCCTCCTGAGGAACTTCAGCACCTTCTCCCGAATCCCCTGCACCCCAGCCCAGCAGCTCCGCTCAAAGTCTCTCGTGCCTCAGAGCTCTCGCCCAGGCCGAGCTCCACACAATCTCCGCTTGGGGTCAGCTGTTCCAAGGCTTATATGGTGGTCCAAGCCCCGTCCACAAGACCGACGTGTACGACCTGACGGCCTGGATCTGACACCAGTGACGAACAAAGGGCTGATACATATAGCCAAAAAGCCGTTCTCTGACAGATATTTGCCAAGGCAAGGTGACCATATAATGGTTAAATTAGGTCCTAATCCCGAGAGACCTCCACAGCCCAGCTGAACTAACATCAAAATGGCTCGTTCGATTGACACAAGTCAGTCCATCTATCATCATTCCATCATGCAGGAGACCACATGTCTATGTGCAACCAACAAGATAAGCAGACTCTTTGGATGTCACAACTGCCCCCGGCTCCGGCTTTGGGTTACAAGTAGTCTTTGGCAGTTAAAATCACCACCCGACCAATGTAGACCAAAAGGACGAAATGAAACTTTGCCAGATGGATATTGTCACACCTTGCGTCATTATGTACTTTAGTGTGATCAAATTAATGAATTTATAAAGAACTCACTCAGAAATGTTCAAGAATGGCAAAGTATCTTTATCCACAGAGGTATATGCAGACTGATGCTTCTGGAGAAATACCCTGAA